AAAATTTGTCAATTTACGTAGATTTATTCAGCGTAAACTTAATCTCTTTAAGTTGCTTATCAGATTATACCAAAAATTCATGTATAAAACTAAATTGGACAAGTTTGTAAGTTTTAAGTAATTTGCCCATTTGAAATGTGATGCTAAAAACAATTTTTTTTTATCTCATACTATTTTATTTAATATTTTTAATGTTGTATTTTATTATTATTTTATTTGTTGCATTTTATTTGTTTGTTTTTTAGTTATATTTAAAACCTATTTTATATTTTTTGCTGTATTTTGTATTTATTTGTATTTTATTTTTTGACATTATTATGCTGTATGTTGTATTTTTGCCTATTTTGTTTTTCATCATTTTTAATTATATATATATATATATACATACACATATATATATTACATGATTATATATTATATTATAGGTTTTATTATATTATATATTTACAATTAGTATGTTGTGCTTTGTATTTATTTGTATTTTATTTTTTACATTTTTATACTGTGTTATATTTTTTGTAATTTATATTTATTTGTACTTTTCTTGAGATTTTTATGCTGTGCAGTATGTTGTATTTTTTGCATTTTTTAAATTTAGTTTTTTATTACATTTTTTACCATTTATATTTTAATTTTTGTGTTGTATTTGGTATTAATTTGTATTTTTTTGGACATTTCTATGCTGTATGTTGTTTTTATTTTGTTTTTCATAAATTTTTTTTACCATTTATATTTAACATTTGTCTTGTACTTTATATTTATTTTACTTTATTTTTGAAATTTATATGCTTTATTTTGTTTTTCATGAAAACAATTATTTATATTTTAGGTTTTTATGTTGTACTTAGTATTTATTTGTTTTTTATTTTAGATTTTTTTAAATTTTGTATTTTTTATTTTTGTTTATTTTATACCATTTCTTTTTTTAAGTTATATGTTGTATTTATTTGTATTTTAATTTTTAATGTTTTACAGATTTACTTTGATTTGTCTTGATTTAATTTAAACCATATTCCACTGACCTCATTTTTTTCTTCATTCGTTTTGATTTGAACCGTGTTCCACTGACCTCTTTTCTTTCATCATTTCTTTAGGGTGGAGTTCCAGAATAAATTCTACACTGGACAGGGCTTCAAGTTCATGCCTTTTACATTTGACAGCATTCTGGATGGCAAGTCTGAAGAATAAACCTCACCCACTCTCTATCTCTCTCTCTCTCTCTCTCTCCCTTCCTTTGCAAACCTCCAAACTACAGGAGCCAATCAGTTTAGAGTGAGCTTTTATGATTATGTGAGCACTGTGACATGCATGGCTCTAAATTTCTCAGGTGTTCTACTTCAGGACATAAATGGAATAACTTACATGCAAGTAAATTACATGCAACTCGTAAAAAGAATCTGAGCATAACACATGGAATAACTCTTGCCTCGATATATTGATATAATATAATACAAACTCAATAGTATGAACGTCATGCTTTTTTTCCTTCATAAAAGCCTATGAATTTGTATATACTCTTCAATAGAAGCAAATATCTTTACAGTTTCCTTCTCATAATAGTGGAGATTTTGTCTTTTTGTCCAGTTTCCTAAATTATTAGAGTTTGTTTTTTATGTATCTTTTATTCTTTATGTTGAACATAACTAAATTAATAGTTCTCATGCAAAGGGACCTCATTTCAAACGTCACAACAACAACAAAAACATCACTTTATGCCATTTTACAAACCTTTGTCATGCATATCTGAATCATAGATGCAGTTAATCCAGATTTATTGCAGATCTTTTCATTCCTTCGCAGTCATGGTTGTAAAATGTAGTCCTGATTTAGTTGGTCTCTGTGTTTTGTTTTGTTTTTGTTTTCTCTGGACAATTAAAAGCAAATGTACATCTGATCTTACGAATCTGTTTGCTGCAGTGCCCAGTTCTGGGGTTTTTTGACTGTTGTTTATTCATGCAACATACACATGCATTGGCTATTAAAGAAATTATGTCAGATGTCAAAAGCAGTTCTTCAGTGTAGCAGAAATGAACTATACCAAGTAAACGCAGTCAGTGACGTGGAGTGATTATGTCTGTTGTGTGTGTCAATAAAGAGGAAGGAGGGGATCTAAACACATTATCTTGTTTTTCCTTTTTTTGTATGCGTGTGAGAAAAGATCTGTTGATAAATCATGTCTATAAATAATAGAATTTATTAAATTAATAATATGCAGTATCATTATAATACCGACCATATTCATTTTGATAACCTTTTATATATAACAATACACTTTACATTTACATTTACATTTAGTCATTTAGCAGACGCTTTTATCCAAAGCGACTTACAAATGAGGACAAGGAAGCAATTTACACAACTAGAAAGAATTCATCAGACGCTGGATTCGAGCCGAGTTCATGCTCGAACGAATCAATTCATGATCACATGCGTCTTACAAGGTGCGCCACTGAGACTGCTTTATAATTGGACTTTATAATGTGTGCAATATATAAAGCTAAAGTCAGATTTATTAGCCCTCCTGAATTATTAGCCCTCCTTTATTATTATCTCTCCTGTAAATAACACGTTTATAAACAACATGATAGTTTTAATAACTCATTAATAATAACTGATTTATTTTATCTTTGCCATGACCGTAAATAATATTTCACTAGATATTTTTCAAGATACCTCTATACAGCTTAAAGTGACATTTAAAGGCTTAACTAGGTTAATTAGGGAAGTTACTGCATAACGATGATTTGTTCTGTTGCTTAAGGTGGCTAATAATATTGACCATAAAATGGTTTAAAATAAACTTTAAAACTGCTTTTATTCTAGCCGAAATAAAACAAATAAGACTTTCTCCAGAAGAAAAAATATTATCAGACATACTGGGATCATTTGTGAAATATTTGAAAAAGAAAAGAATTCACAGGAGGGCTAATAATTTGGACTTGGAAGTTTGACAGGGCATTTCCCAGGTCTGGAAATGTTTTGGAAAAAACAGAAAAAACCCACAAAGTTTTGGAAAAGTCATGGAAAACAGATATCTGTATACTTGAATATAGGTTAGTTGTCTTGACTTTTATTCTGTCCTTTGCCAATCACATACTCTTACATTATTAGTGCAATGTAAGCATTATGTGAACCAATTTTGCAGAGATATAAATATACATTGAAACTAAATAGATCACTGCATGTGTTACGCTATTGTGTAATAAATTTGAACATGCATTGGTTTCCCTTTTACCTCGCATATGTAGACATTGCATGAAACATTAGGGCACGAAACTTTATTAGCACGAAACTTTTACTTGAAAGTCTTGGAAAAGTCATGGAATTTTAGTAGTGAAAATGTGTATGAACCCCGTTTAAAAATCTCAACATTATTGAGTTTATACATGAAGTAGTGCCAGTTACGTAATCAAATTACTTTTATTCCCAAGTAACTAGTAACATAGCACATTACTTTTTAATTTCCAAAAGTAATTCACTGTTAGCTCTCCTGTCTTCGTGTTAAGAGAAAGCAGGAGTAAGTGCAGATGTGTGGTGTGTTGAACATGCTTTCTGTTGTTCCAGCTTTAATGTGAACGTGTATTTACTCAGTTTCACAAAAACAAATTCACTTTCCTTAAAAAGAATAAAAACTGTCAAATGCAAACTTTGAATATTAATTACTTCATGTAAGCCAGAAAGGTTTGTTTGAGCTGGAAATTTACGTTTCCTTCAGCCTGAGCTTTATTCACTTCACATTTAACTTTTCAAACTTACTTATATATACAATTATATACAATTAAAGTCAAAATTACACTTTAAAAGGTATAGAAGTGCCTTGAAAAATATCTAGTAGAATATGATTTACTGTCATCTTGGCAAAGATAAAATAAATCAGTTATTAGAAATGAGTTATTAAAACTATTAGGTTTAGAAATGTGTTGAAAAACCTTCTCTCCATTAAACAAAAATTAGGGAAAAAATAAACGAGGGCTTATAATTCAGACTTCAACTGTATATATACATGAGTGTTATTACATTATTGACAAGCCAAGTCAGCATTGATTAAAAAAAAAAAGTAATGCTAAAGTTTATAAACTTAAAAGCAGTGGTGTAAAGTAACAAATTACAAATACTCCAATATCTGTAATTGAGTTTTTTCAGAAATTGTAATTTACAAAGTCGTTTTAAAAATGCGTACTTTTACTTTCCCTTGGGTATATTTTTAGTGCAGTATTTTTACTTTTACTCAACTACTTTTCTTCAACCTATGATCACTACTTTTTTTCTTGTTTTTGGTGATTGGCTGAGTTGAAAAACCAGTTCAATCAAATCGCACATAGAAAGTAAATCACATTATACTGTTTATAAACTACCTCAACACATGGGCGATTTATAAATGCAGCCTCCCTCTTTGAAGCATTTAAATTGTCCAAAATCTTTACACACAATGACCCAGAGACTGTTTAGACTGTTTGTCACTAAGATGACGACGGATGTGTACTGACTGTATCAAGACTAAAATCGCCAAATGGCCCTAAACAATCACTAAATTCACTACAGAATGTTACGTTTTCACACAAATGCACACAATGCATGTAATAGTGCCTTTCACAATGTAATACTCACTACTTTTGAATACTTTTAAAAGCTTTGAGTAATATTTACGACAGATACTTTTACCCCACTTGCACTACATTTTGGGTAAGTAATAGTACTTTTACTTGAGTATGATTTTTCTGTACCCTCTCCACCGTTGCTTAAAAGTACCACATTTAGATACTTTTTTAAAGAAGTAGTACGAAAACAGGACAATCGGGAGTGTCACAATTTTTGCAACAAAATGTTTTTGTATGAATACTATTATATAATGTTTACAGTCCCTATGAGGTTTCATTAACTTTGTAAATTTCCTGGCTCCCGTTACGCTATTAATGACTCATGAATCGATTTGAGATGTTTGACTCATATCTCTACGTAATTAAGCAAGTGGGTGTCTGTGTGTCCGTGTGTCCCCTGCCAGGCTCTAGGGAGGGTGGAGACTCCCTTTAAAGGGTCAGTGTGGGTGTGTCCTTACAGTAAGTGATCTCGATAGGGGGCTGGACTGAGAAGGGAAAGGGAAGACCTGACAGACGGACAGACTTCACAGGGAGCTGTGAACACGCGCACACACACACCTTAGAGAGAGAGAGAGAGAGAGAGAGAGAGAGAGTCTACTTCCACCAACTGGACGGGGTCCTGAAGTAGACTTGAGGGAAAGAGGAAGGGAGGGAAGGTTTGAGGAATTCTAACAAACCTAGAAGGTAGTGGTAGTAAGACGTGATTCAAAGAAGACTTTGTTGCCTGCAAGTTGGAACCATTCTGCTGTCACCGTCGGGTGTCTTCTGTCATTCAGGTCTTTTTTTAGTGCTTTATTTTTACCCTGCGTTCTTGCACACTGGGCCACGTTTGTATGTAGGTGTGTGTGTGTGTGTGTGTGCACACTTCTACCCTCTGCAAGCAAGCAAGCAAGCAGTGTGTGTTAATTGGAGTCTACTTGAAACCAAGCCATGGCCGACACAGACTTCAAACTGGAGCGTGCCATCTTCGCCGAAGTCTCTGATGACGATGAGGAGGTGGCTTTGGTTACATCTGCAGCCAAACCTGCAACATCCTTGAAGGAGTTCAAATCGAGACGAGGAGACGATGAGGATGATGATGATGACTCAGAGAAGGAGGTGGATCTGGTGTTGGGTCCAGGGCTGGACGGTGGTGACGCAGAGAAGTCGGATGCTACTGGCATATTGGTGCTGGCGCTTCTAGATAAAATCATCGGTGTGGTGGACAAGATCCAGCAAACGCAGACGAGCCTGGAGGCCAAGCAGGAGGTGATGGAGAAGAACATGAGCAGCATTCAGACGGAGTTGGCCAAGTTGGCCAAGAGTCACGTGGGCACGGCCGGGACGGTCAACAAGCTCCTGGACAAGGTGCGGAAGGTAAACGTCAACGTGAAGAGCGTGCGAGCGGACTTGGAGAAGCAAGTGGGACAGATCAAAAAACTAGAGAACAACGAACAGGAGCTTCTCAAGCGGAAGAACATCAAAGTGCTCATTATACCGGTGAGTAAGGCGCACGTGTTTTCACTGATATCACAACACAATCTCTCAGTCATTTGTAACTTGTGTGTAATTCGTATTCATTTATATGATCTCATTCACACATTTGTGTACACATTACTGATCCTTCCTGCAATGATGGTTGGGTTTAGAGGTGTGGTTTGGGAGCACGCCTCTTTTTTTTAAAAAAGTGTACGTTTTAGATCAAACAAATTAGCTACTTTTCCTCGAATACATATAAGAGTTATCTTATGTTTTCTCTTAAGATCAGACTTGATATCGAGTTCTTGGATCGGGCCTCCATTCATTTGACTTAATGATTGATTAATGAGTGAGCTTCCAGAATGACTGGTCATCAATTGCTGTTTTATCTACCTATTTTTATGCACATTTTACACTATTGCATAAAATAATACTGAATGGAAGCACTGAGATGCAAATACATTTTAAAAATGTGCACAACTGAGTAGGATACACTTTTTAATTTAAGTTTGGTGCGCTTAAAACTACAACGGAAACACATTAAAAGAATAAATTCCAGCATACGCTTAGTTTAAAGTTTGTTTAAACTGGTGCAGAAATCCAAATTTATACAGTGCAATGAAAATCCACTGGGGATGGCATTAATAGACAAACCAGCAGACTGACCACATTGTCAAACATCTGAAAGGATATTGAGGTCATTCTAAAATCCCTTAGCCAAAGTCTGTCATCAAAGTGGTTCAGTAATAATTCCTCTCAAAGAGCGTCTCATGTCTCTACAAAATGGCTGTGTTTATTGCATTTTATCTTCTTTTTTGAGATGCAAGTAGTTTGTTATTTATGAAAAAAAGCCCACAGTGGCTTCTCCTACAGCAGCATATTCCATCCGGTTCATCAGGAAGTGATGATTTCAATCTCTTTGACACATTGGATGAAAACTGTGCTTTATTAGCAAATGTTTTATGCAATATTGTTTTGTGCATAAGCTTAATTTGCATCTCTTGCAAAACTTGCAGGTTTGTAACAAGTGAAGGGAGAAGAAATTGATTTTTATTTAAAAAAAAATTAATAATTTATTTAACTAATATTTTCTAATAAGTGTTTTAGCTCATTGGTCATTTCAAAGTGACTTAAAGAAATCCTCAAACATCCTGGAAGCTGACACAATCTACTTTAGAAAAGCACTATAGAAATAAAGATGAATTGAGTTGAATAACTCAACTGCAAGGATCACATTGAAACCTGCATTATTTTGGTTTGCATTCCCAGCTCTAATTAATGGCTTACAGAGCCTTCATAATTCTGGCTGGTTTTGAGACTTGAGACTAGTTGATCTTTTTCTAGCTTTTTACTGTGCCCAGATATATCTATTTTTCTTATTATTGTTCAGATTGTAGCTGTTTCTGCTATAGCACGCTTTAATTTTTTGTCATAGTATAGAGAT